TTCACGCTTGGTGTGGATTAAAACTTAATATCAATTAACTGAAAAATTGCATAACCATAATTTTATCATACTTTGAGATATAAACCAAAGAAAACATAATGTGATTCTAAATAGTTATTTAGCTACACATCCGACTCTTTTGAGGATCTAGTGTCTTGTGCAACCGTGGTATTCTATAGACTATACATGTGTTTAGACATAAAGTTTTATTGGAAGTGTTGAAGTAGTCAACCTTTCATAATAAAAAGCACGTGCGTTAATGTAATAAATCTATTTGAGAATTGACAGGCAAGAGACAACTAGTTTCTCGATTCCTGTATTACCTCGCCCCATGAGATTTAAATATAAATTATTAAGGTATTAAAGTATCAAATTCATTGTCGGAAGCTTCAAGTGTAATACACATGATTAGGGCATAATTATAAATTAGGAAAAATTATAAAAATATCATTTTTGAAGTGTACATTTACAAAAATACTATTTAGGAATGTTCATTTGCAAAAATACCACTAATTATAGATTTTTAAACTCTATATTTTAAAATTCTAAACACTACAAAATATGTTTATCCCTAAACCCTCTTAAACTCTCATAACTAGATCCTAATAAAACATAATTAACTCAAATATAAATAATATAAAGAAAAAATAATTTTGAAAAAATGGTATTTTTGTAAAGATTTTAAAAATATGGTATTTTTGTAAAATGACACTTAAAAAATAGCATTTTTTGAAATTTTTCTATAAATAAATTAAGCACATTTTTTACTGTCCAAGATCCAAAATTCTATTTTATCTAAAAATGATCCAACTTTCTATATTGAAAGAGTTTGATTAGATGGATCCGTATCTCCGGCGTCACGTCAGAAGGAAATTTAAATAATGATTGCAGTTGTAATTCTCATCTAATATTTATAAGAAGTAACATGTATAACCGGTTGGTAGTGCCTAATCAATTTATATTTTTTTATTATCCAGGTGTATTAGAATAACAAAGAAACTCTTAGATATGTATATTAAATTGGCACTAAGCTTGTCCC